AGATCAGATATAATATGTTTTATTTTCGGCTAGGGGTTCCACAGAACTTCTATTTTCCTAGAGAACTCTATAGTCAACAGCATTATCGAGGAATGTTCTAGAATATGTACAAATTTCTAGTAGAATTTTCAAAAAGTACTCTGCGTTTTCGTATAATTTTTGTGAACTTCTATTGCTATATCGTCTGTGAAAAATTGAATATGATATCTTGTTCAGTCGAGGGCTAAGCGAGTCGAAGCGACAAGCGTTACTTGTTGATAGTCAGTATTTGAGCTCATATTCGCTTAACATAGCAGTCTCGATAGAATTAAAAAATCCTAAAAATACTCATGACTAAGAATCTACTAAAATCAAGTCATGACCGTGAGGTTGATGGAATTTCAGGACGGGAAATTTCAGCAGAGGAAACTTTAGCACGAAGACCAATCACACTGTAAAAGAAGTTTACTAGGAAACTCAAAACATGTACTACAACTGTTCGGGTTCTTAAAAAAGATTTTTCTGTGACTAGACGAAGAAGAATCATCACTACCGAAAACTTGTTACAGTCGGTCTAACCTACAAAACGTCCACACACAATGTCAAACCATATAGATTTGATACAAAGACTTTTCAAGATTTATTCCGTGCTTTCAAGAAAAATATTGAGCGATTCCGTCTCAAAGTTAGTATAGAACCTAAAAGGTTAGGCATCGGGTACGAACATTTTGGAGGTTTCATTGATCCTAGGCATTCAAAGAACTGAAACTTCCGTTTGGTGATCTAGACCGAATCATTCACATTCCCTTTTCGTTACGGACTAAGGATTCGGGAACTATCGAACCAGTTTCAGATAGCATTGAGTATTTAGGCGATCATTCAAACGCTTCTTGTAATATGAGTAATCATGAAAACATTCTAAGGTTCAGCTAACTTCGGGTTCGAGTATTTTCGAATATCACGGATTCTCTTTTAAGATGCCTTTCAGCTAGGGCGTTTTTGGATCTTTTATTTCATTATCTGTAGACATATTATAGCCGACTGTAGAATACTTGCTTTTGACTCATTTTTTTAATCCTTTTATTAAATTAACTAAAAATAACTAGTCTCAAGACCGAACTCCGAATGCTTGGGTTCAATGTATATCTTGTTGATCCTAAGAAGGTTTCGTACATGAATTCGAAGTCATTGAGTTTCGGTAGTGATGATTCTTCCCCATCTAGTCATAGGAAAACCTTTTTTAAGAATCTACACAGTTGTAGTACAAGTTTTGAGTTTTCAAATGAACTTCTATTACAATGTGATTGTTCTTCGTGCTTAACTCTCTCGGACTTGAATTTTCCGTGCTGAAAATTTCGGATTTCATAACCGTGTTACTCGATTTAGAGTTTTACTGATAAATGAGATAAACGTATTTCAATGAGAAATTTCGCTGATTAGTCGGTTGAAGGATTCGAAGAATATTCTCAAAATTTGATCTGAAAATAATTAACCTTTATTTAGATATTCTATTTTCAAGTACGCTTGATATTTATGATAAACAATCATTTTGTTAAAATTGAAATATGTATATATTGACAAAGAAATATTCTTTTCGGATAAAACTTTAATGACATTTCTCGAATAATTCGACTTATTAATTGACAAAGTTTCATAATGGAAATAGTATTATATTATATGATATATGTATTGATACATAATTAAAGTTGGATGAAAATATCGAATTAAACATGTCTATAGTGTCGAACTCTTTTAAGATTTTTCTATTCTTATCAATAGATTGTTGTCATACGAAAGGACAAGTATCAGTTTGAATATTTTCTCTTGTTGATTAATTGTTGAAAGTTTTTCGATCTGTTTTTTGTTCAAATGATAGATTCAACATATTGATGTTAATTTGAAATGATAAACAAACCAACTACAAAACGAAACAAAAGAAAAAAAAATGATTTGAACTTTTGAAACTGAATAGTTGTTTTTTTTTTCATTGATTTTATCTTTTATCTATTGTTAATGAATGAACTTTATTTGAATAAATTCTTTATTTATTAATTTGATTAAAAAGTTAGCTTGAGGAAAAACAAAAGACATGATCAATAATTATAATGTCAAAACTGTTTTCTCTATTGTTGATTTGTTAAGTGTTAATTAATGAAATAGAGCGGCAAATAAAATAAGATAAAAATTAGAATTAAATCAATGTGTGAATTATCATTAAAACATGTATTTGGTATTCGAACATCATTATTTGATTGTATATCATATTTAAATGAACATTGTTATTTATATCCATCTAGTCGACATATAATATTATATGATATTGATTATAAATGTCAACGATTAATTAATTATGGAAATGAATATGATTTATTAGAATGTTTAACTGTTTCTCATAATAAACAATATCTATCAATTGCATTAAATACATTAGACAAATCTCGAATTATTATTTATGATATAAGTCAAACAATAAAACGACGAAAAATTTTATCCTTAAAACAGACAATACATTCAAATCATGTTCTATCAATTAGTTTTTCGACTAATTCAAAATTTCTTCTTGTACTTTAGTAAGAAACATAGAGATACTTGTTTTTTGAAGTAAAAAAAAACCAAAAGAATTTGTTTATAAATGTAGTGGTCCACCTGATTATGTATTAGTTTGTTGGTCAATTGATCGATTTAAATCTGTTTTAATTGTATCTCTTCATTCTCTTCATATTGATCTTTCACATAATCCACTTAATTTAAAAGTAAGTTTTTATTTTAATTAAAAATTGTTCTCAAACAAAAAAAACAAAAAAAAACAAAAGGTTTCATTTAATCCAATTGATTGTTATGAAATATTATTAACTGGTAATCATATATATAGAAGATATCGTTTAAATAATGATAATTTATCTTTATATGATCATGGACAATATCAAAAATGTCAATCAATGAATATAACATGTCATTGTTGGCTTAATAATAATTATGTTTTATTAGGATTAGATACTGGTTATATGTCTACTGTTAATAATCATGGAGATATAATTCAAACATATAATTTGTATATTTTACTTTTATTTAATTAATTAATTAATTATATTTATATTTATTTAAATAGAATTAAAACAAATCAATCAAATAATATAAATATTGATCGATTATATACTTATTCAACGAATCGATCCAATATTCGAACAATATCAGAGAGAAATATAATAAATAATAAAAATCTATCAAAAATAAAATCAATCTCTCAATCATCATCCATATTTAAATTAAATCGAAAAATGTCATCATCATCATCATCTTCATCATCATCTTCATCATCATCGATGTCAACTCGAGAAAATGAAAAATCAAGAAGAAATTCTTTTAGATATTCAAATAGAAGTTTAGAGAATTTTAATTCGAAAAAAGAATTTATTTATTCAAATTATTATGTTATTTGTTTATTACCTTTTTCACGTGGAGTTTTTGTATCAATAGCGTAAATTTATTTTATTTTATTTTATTTTTCTAATTTAATTAAATTAAATAATAGACTAGGATATATTCTTATGTATGAAAGAAATGAAAATTCATTTCATTTAACTTATTTACGTCGATTAATATTACCTTCATTTAATTATATTGATGATTTTTATATAAAAAAAACAAAAAATAATTTAATTGAGAAAAAAATTTCAAAAAAAAAATTTTCAATAAAATTGTTTAAACAAGAATCAATTCAAAATAAATTATCAAGAAATTCATCATTAATATATGATAAATCAATAAAAAACGATATTATTCTATCATTAGCATTAACTCCTAATGAAGATACTTTATTAGTTGCAACAAATTCAAATCATTTATATCAAATTACTTTTTCAAAAATGGTTAACTAACTATTCCACACAATAACAATATATATATGATATTCATATCATCAAATAATATCTTATTAGACTAAGTTTTTTCTATTAGATTCGATTCGATTTCTTATCATTGATAAAAAACATCGATATAAATCAACGATTTATTTAACTAAAAATTGGGACCAATGAAATTTGTTCTGTCCGTAAATATATTTCATATTGAATTGTATGGTTTATAAATATGTTTTTCTTCGCTCTAGACAAATTCATATTGACATTTTACAAATTGTTTTTACAATATGATTAATATATAAGTTAAAATGAATTAACCGTCAAACATTTGCAGATATATCGAAAAATTCTCCTCGAAAATAAGAAAAATAATCGATTGGTAATGTTCCAAAAAAAGTCTATCATATGTTTCTTCTATAAAATGTACTTATTGAAAAAATTTTTTAAATTGTTCAAACCTGCTATTTCTTACAACTATCTTCTATGAAATTGTCTTTTCAGTTAATTTTAGAGACGAGTTCGATCATTTTCATAAGAAAAAGATATGTTCAAAATCCATATTCAATATAAAAATCAAGTTTAACATCTGTGACTGATTCAAATCCTATATGAATATTTAAACGAAAAATGCTTTTCCATTTTTTTCCGAACTTAAGTAATCGAAAAGATGATGTTCTATTATATAATTATCAATTATTTCATGTCTGAATAATTTTAAAAAATCTATTGAATAAGTATGTTTCTAGAATGAATAAGAGTATAGGTTTTACTTTGCTAAAGTGTCACTATTGAGTTATTTTCAATTTCTGATAAAAGTCAAGAAAATATTTTTTTCAACTAATTTAGTATATATTGCTGTTAATTCATTTTATGACCGATATATTTCTCAAGAAGCAATCAGACTATTTATCAAGTATCTATATTTGTTTGAGTTAAGTGAAAAAAACTCACATAAAATCATATTATTCAATATGAAATAAATATTTATGGACAGAACAAATTTCGTTCAAACTTAATCTTTAACTAAATAAACAGTTTTGATAGACAAGTTGTTCCCTTATATCGATTTATTATTAATGATAATAGTCCAATAGACTATATTTAGATAGGTAGAGTAAGATTATTTTAAATACCTTCTATATTTAAGGTAGATGATAGAGACGATTTTTATTGTTATTGTGTGGATTTATTTATCATTTGATATATTTTATTTAATTAAATATATATATATATGTAGGATTATAGAAATAAAGAAGGATGTATATTAAAGCATGCTGTTGATGATAGTCATTATGGAAGTATAATAAAAGTAGCAATATGTATTCGTAAACCAATATTATTTACATTGGGTATTGATCAATCACTTAAAATATGGAATTTACAAACAAAGTTAATTATATTTGAATTGTAAATGTTTTGAATATGTTTTGTATTTGTTTATTTATAGTAGTCAAGAATTAAATCATAAATTTGAGATTGAACCATTATCATTAAGTGTTCATCCAACAGGAATATTTGTTTGTATATCATTTTGGACAATAATTCGATTATATTGTTATACTATTGATGGTTTGAATTTATTTAAACAATTTGAAATTTCAAATTGTCAATCTGTATTTATAAATATAAATTAATTTAAAAAAGAAAAAAAAAACTGTTGTTTATTTTATTTAAAGATTGAATATAGTAATCAAGGACATATATTATCAATATCATATGATTATACTATTCAATTCTATCATCATTATGATTACAATAAATATTCATATATACATGCTAATGACAAAGTAAGATTATTTTATTTTTCTTTTGTTTTTTTTTCAATAAATTAATTTTGATTTATTTTTGTGTTTTGTAAATAAATAAATAAATGTGATAGTTTCGACTAATTCGTTGGTCTCATGATGATTCATTTATAATAACTGTTGATTTTGATGAACTTATCATACGATGGGATCCATATAAAAATCAACGTTTATCTCAGGTTTTTATTTTATATTTTATATATATATGTGAATATTTATTTATTTATTTATTTAAATAAATAGTATAAAATAACAGATTTTACTATAGATGATTTATTGATAAGTTCAGATAATAAATTCGCTTATATATTAACAAATGATAAAAAACTAAAAGAATTTCAAATGATGACAGTTAGAGAATTTCTATTTGATTTATCTGTTAATAAATCTTTATTAATATAATAGACAATACGTGATATTAATATTCCATATGATAATTGTTTTCCAACAGCATTATCAATATATGATGAAAAAAAAATTTTATTTATTGGATCACAAAATGGATCAATTTATTTAATCAATTTAACAGAAAATAATTCAATAATTGATAATAATTATTCCAACTATTTATCATATATGAATGTTCATCAAGGAATAATAACTAAAGTATGAAATAAATGAGTTATTCATTATATATTCTGACAATTAACCTTTGAAATTTAAATTGAGCTAAAAACAAAATTTATTTTCAAATTAACTAAATATTAAAGGAACAGGTAACAAGTCTATATATCTATATTAATACGTTGTCTAATTAAATAGTTATTCGTGCTAGAATTCAACTTAATATAATATTATTGTTCATAGGCGAGTGTTCAAAAAACGAAATCGTGTCTCTTAGAAATATTATAACGATATAAATATGAGAAAAACATGACCAAAAAAAACATCTATTCAGCTACAATTAAACCTAGCCTTTGGCGGATTATTTGATGAGCTCGCTGCTCGTCAATAATGCTTTCAATCGATAACCATTTTCTCAACATTTAACATAATCTATAGAAATTTTCAATGATATGCTCTTCTTAAACATTGGACTTGTCTATAATCTTAGTCATAGAAATAATTGTTCTAGTCGATGTCGTGATGGAAACTTTCTCTCTCTCTCTCTCTCTTAATTCAAAGATAAATAAAATAAATTTAATCTGTTTAGATTTTAATATCATTTCATAATGATTTAATTATTTCAACAGGAGAAGATGGAAATATAATATTATACAAGTTAAATTCTTCTCAACGAAATAAAGAATCAAAAATAATTTTTCGTGATGAAATACTCGCCAATGAACATATTCTAAAAGAACAAGTAATTTTATTTTGAATTTATACAGATTTATACAAAAGTTTGAACCACAATCAAAACTTGAATAACTTCTCTATCATTCAATGGACTCAAATAGATTTTCTTTTCTTTTTCTTACAGTTTTAATCCCATATTCATTTTAGTTTTATTCCATATATATATTAAACAAAAGACAATTAAAATAGTTTTAATCACGGTTAAAATCTAATAATTCATAATTCTAAAATGCTAAATCAATATTCAACTTGGAAAAAACCATATAAACTAAACAATGGATTAGTAATATATTCGAGTCGAGTAATTTTGTTAAATAATTTCTATAGAAAATGAATTATGTTATGAAATACTGTAAAAGAATTACTTAAGAAATAATGATTAATTTAAAAATGATTTTCGATCAAATGTTTGATTAATAGAACTATTCTTCAAACTAGTAACTTTTATGACTTTAATTATAGATGTTCGATGATAATATACGAATATTATTGTTTATGATAATGAGTAAGATTGATCGACAGAGAATATACTTCGTCCTGATTCTAAGTCTGATTATTATCGTTAACTCTATTGATTCTTCTTCATTAATTACTCTATGATTTTCTATTAAGTAACCAATTTACATAAGTATCTATTTTAGAAAAATCTCTAAAAGGTGATTCATTTGACAGGTTTTGTTACCGTATTCTACTTTCACTTTTTCATTTATTCCAATGTTAATTGAGTTGAATAATGACATAGGTAAAATAATTTTTATTTTAATTTGTTTAAATGGAGATATTTATCTTAAAATATCGAATGAATATGTGATAAAACTGTAAAAACAAATATTTAAAATTTGTTTAATCTATTGAAGTTTTGTAAAATGATGAAGAAAAAAAAACAAACAAGTTCTATTTGTATGTAGATGATTGAATTGAATAAATTGATAAAAGGTGAATTTGAAATTGAACATGAATATGAAAATAAAATTGAAATAAAAGAAAAAGAATATATTGAACAATTTCATCAAGTTGATATTCATTATCAATCTTCTATTAATAAAATGGAAATAAAAATAAAAGAATTAAATGAAATAAAATTCAATTTAAAAAGTGAACATCAACTAAAACAATATGAATTAATCAAAATAAAAGAAAATCTAATTAATATATATAATCAAGATAAAATAAAACATTATAAAGATCTTATTATTCAAGATAAATCACTTTTATTTAATATTGAATATTTATATTTAAATGAAAATCAACAAATTCTATTTATTAATGATTTATATCAAAGATATATTGAATTAATTCATTTATCATATAGAAATAAATTAAATAATATTAAAAAATTTTTTTTTCAAGTATTTTTTTTTATAATGAAAAAAACAAAAACCATTAAGAAAACCAATTATTTTATTTAATAGGAAAATGAACATTTATATGAACGTATTAATTATTTTGAAGATATTAAATATATGATTGATGAAGATGCAGATATTGAATTTAATTTTTTAAATGAAAAATATATTAAGAAATTAAATATTATTTTAAATAAAATCGAACAATTAGAAAATGAACAAGTTTTACTTAATTTAAGAGTTAATTATTATATGAAAATTTATTTAATTAAATTTCTTTTTTTCTAAATATAATTTAGCTTGAACAACTTGAACAAGAATCAAATCGTTTTGAAGATGAAATAAAACAATTTGAATTCGAACGATATCAATTAATTGATCAAATTCGACAAATTGATTATGATTTAAACATAGCTAAACAAACAATTCAACAAAGAAATTTTATTATTCAAGATAAGGTTTTCTCTTTTTTTTGATTTTATTTTCTAAAAAACAAAAAAAACAAATGATTTTTTTATTATTTAGTTAAAACGTACAAATGATATGGAAAATCGACAAGATGAATTAGAAAAATTTGCATATGTTTTTAATTATAAAATTCGAGAATTAACAAATGAAATAGCTCCTCGACAACATGAAGTTAAAGCTTTAATTGAACAATATAATAATGTTAACACATTTATTTATTTATTTATTTATTTATAAAACTATTTCTTATTTAGATGGACACAGAATATGATATATTATGTCAAAATAATGAAAAATATTCAATAAAAATAGCTGATTATAATGCAAGATTAAAAGCAACAGAAAAAGAACTTCAATATGAAACAATTGCTGTAAGAGTTTTCCTTTTATTTTGTTTTTTTCAATAAATCTATCGATTATATTATTTAAAATTTAATATTAATTTAAGATTCGTAAATTAAATGAAACAATTGCAAATATAAAAGAAGATTTAAAATTATCTTGTCATTTAATTGATAAACCAAAACAATTAATTAAAATTATTCGAAATATTTATGGAAAATATATTCTTCAAGTTCATGTAAGAACTTATTGTATATTCATCTT